ACTTCCTCTTTGATTTAAAGGCTTAGGGAAAAAAGCCATTTAAAATTTCCAAATGGCATTTTCACTAAATGAGCATTGTTTACTTTCTTTTTTGATTATAAAATTTTTTTTTTAATTTTTTTTTTTCCTTTATTGATTTCAGAGAGAGGAAGTGAGAGAAAGAAAAAGAAACATCGATGAGAGAAAACATCGATTGGCGTCCTCCTGCATGCCCCGCACTGGGGATTGGGCCCACAACCTGGGCATGTGTACTGACCAGGAAATGAACCAGCATCCTCTTGGTGCATGGGTCGACGCTCAACCACTGAGCCACTCCGGCCGGACTATGAAAATATTATTTAATAATCTGTTAAGACAGATCACTAGCTTATATCCATAAAGGCAAACTGTAAGTATTATGTATAACTATTTATAGTAATTTATTTAGAATACATTTAGTTACAGTGCTGATATTATTTGAAGTTTATACATTATTTAAAGGAGAAAATTTTAAGCCAGATAATTTGTATATTTATTGAATAACAACTCTGTATGAACTCATGTCTATTTGTTATATATTTGCTTTTCTAAAAATTAGAGACACTATTGATCAATAATTTTATAAATTATTTTTTAAACACCTATCTAATGTTAATATACTAAAAATACAGCCAATGTTTAAATTACTTGATGATACAAAAGAGAATGTAAACCTCAAATGTTCTGTCACTTCTAAGGCCATTGTTTATTTTTTCTTAAATCTCAAAACAGCCGGCTGGTGTGGCTCCCTGATTGTGCGTGGACCCATGCACCAAGAGGTCGCTGGTTCTAATTCCCCACCAGGGCACATGCCCAGGTTGTGGGCCCGATCCCCAGTGGGGGGCACGCAGGAGGTGGCCAATCGATGTTCTCTCTCATCGATGTTTCTATCTCTCCCTCTCCCTTCCTCTTGCTTTAAAGTCAATAAAGAAAAAATATTTTTTTAAAAAATGAAATCTCAAAACACTGTCCTAAATTTCCTAAGAAATAGAAACACTAAAGCCTTTATAAACAAATGAACTCCATGATTTATTCTTCACATCGCTTTACACCAGCTTTTTTTCTTTTCTTTAAGGACGAATAAAATGTATTATACCAAGCCATATCTGTTCTTAGAACATCTAATTCTGGCAGTTAAAATTAAGCTATTTGTTTTTATTTAAAACAGTCTTGCTAAAAAATAATATTCCTGAAATTCTTTCATATTTTTTCACATAATCATTATTGCAATTAAGACTATTATCTAGCACGTATTCCTATTAACTCACTTTTTATAATCTTGACCAAACATACACAATTTATCCTTTTAATCAAAGATTTTATACGTTTTTTTTAAAAAGAGGTACTCCAAGAACAGCAATATGAATACCTTTAGGCAAAACACAGTTTAAAACAGTTACACTGTGCAATACTCCAGGGATTTCAATTAACATGAAATGTAGAAAATTTGTATTAAATACTTTTAAAAAATCTAACTTTTATTAATTGCTAACCACTTCAATATTATAATAAGTTATAATGCCTTAGGCATTGCCAGGAATTCTGAATATAAACCAACACTGGTTTAAAATAAAAAAACAGCCCTGGCCGGTTTGGCTCATCGGTCGGAGCGTTGGCCTGTGGACCAAAGAGACCCGGGTTCGGTTCCCACTAGGGCCACATACCAAAAAATAAAATAAAAGTGAAAAAACAAATGTTCTGAGGAAAAATGGAAATTCAGCACATTATCACATATATTTTTCATGACTTTTACCTACCTAAATTCACTTCATTAGTAAAAATATAAAACTATATTCCCAATAACTTGGAAAAGCCATTACATTACTATGGTATAGTAGAAATTATCGAGAACTCCACAAAGTTGAGAAATCTCAGTTCTAGCCCCAATCTACCATGGTTCTTAGCCTTTTTTCAATGATGGATCCCTTTGAGAATATTATGAAAATAACAGAGTCTCACCCAAGAAAAATGCTAATATAAAATGAAGCACCCGCCTTCCAGATCATCCAGGGACCCCTGAATTAACTGCCTATTGCATGAACTAGGCAAAATAGCATCACTTTTTTGGGGATCTCAATTTCTATGTGGGGACAGTTGAAATTTTTCTCTTTATTTAAGATTAGCCTGGGGAGGAGGCAGGAGGTACTGGAGGGAAAAAAATGGAAAAAATTCTTCAAAGGAAAAACTACATTCCTGAGTTTTCTCTAATTCTTAAATTTCTACAAGACTTTTAAATAGGCTGTGAACTTTGGAAAAATGTAAGATGAAAGAAGAGGCTCTCTAGTTCAAATAATTTGCTCATAGCACTTGCTGTTAGGATAATCACATCCAGCCCTGGCCCTTTTGGCTCAGTGGTTAGAGCACTGGCACTCCGGAGACTAAAGAGTTGAGGGTTCGATTCTGGTCAAGGGCATGTACCTCGGTTGCAGTTTGCCCAGGGCTGTGGTTAGGGTCATGCAGGAGGCAACCAATCAATGTCTCTCTCACATCAATGTTTCTCTCTCTCCCCTCCTCCCTCCTTCCCTCCCAGTCTATCTTAAGATAAGTGGGAAAAATATCCTCGGGTGAAGACTAAAAAAAAAGATAATCACATAAAAGTTATCTAAACAGTTAATTACATTTCCTCTAGGATGAAAGGAACCCTAAGTATACATGTGGTAGCTTTGCTGGTTATAGTTCTGGCATCATGGAATAGGACCAAAATGTTTAACCCTTTCATTAGTAACACACAAACAAGAAAGTCATTCAAGAAAATTTTCTATTAATTTGTCAGACTTTGAAATCTCAGGTATTTTTAATAGATACCTTAAAACAGTTTTTCATTAAACTGGATACAGGCCTTATATAGAATACTCTGGGTAACAGGAAAGCCCATATGTGTCTGCCAAGAAGCTCCAATCAATTTTGCTTTGGTAAATCCACGTATTTTTTCATAAATTTATTTGTGTTTTCAGAGTCATAGTCACATAAAGTTTTTTTAAAAAAACAATTAAAGGTTTTGTAAAAAGAAATATACACAACGAGGAAACTGTGCTTTGCCTCCTGAAAGAGCCCAATTCCTAAATCTAAACTGGTTCTCACTAGCTACACATAATCAATCACACAGAGGAATTTGGAAAATCCTGTCTCATTTATTAAGGTGCTAATTATCCACTTATAAAATAATTAGGTAAATCACTAATCTCTCCTTTTCCTTCATCTGTTAGCCTAGTTCATCACTGGGCAAGGCCTTCAATTGAAGAGGGGAATGGATAGTGAATAAACTTCGACTTGATGGAATTTACGTCATTTCACAGAGGTCTCAAGAATGGAAAACACTGAAACTTTGGGGGGGATATAAAACGGTATTTTCTACGTTGCGATGACATCGTAAAATCCCTGCCTCTCAGCACCTACTAGCATGGATAATCAAGGATTCGGTGCAATTAAAAACAAAACAGACACTAATGGGACTACTTTATGAATCTCGAGAATGAATTCAATGCTTCGGGTCCCACACCCTTAAGATATAAGCTTAATCTATAGAAAACACTAATTTTTGCAAAATAATTAGGCAGAAGGGCCAGGGGAAACCGTAGTATTTCCTATCTTAAAGGGAGCACCCCCGTGAAACCACTGTAAAAACAAAGCTCCGCTCCATGGAACGTAGCCCAGCACCCCCCCTCCTTCTGCACTTATCACACGTTCTCCGACAGTGTTTCTGGGTGAGAAGCCTTCAAAAGCCTTTCCACCTTGAAAACACATTCCAGAACTGCAGGGAAGTGGGGTGCACATTCGCCGTAAGTTATAAACCCTCCAGTCGGCAGAGCACGGACAACTTGGGAGTCTTCTGGCCGCTTCCACCAGACCCGGGAGGAGGGGCACAAGCGAGACCGTCAACAGGGCGGAAAAAGTCCCCCTGCCCGAGGCAGCATCTGGAACAATGCAGGAGAGCGGGGCGCCGCCAGGCTCCCGGGCTGGGTAGGTCTGCGGCCTCAGGAGCCCGAGGGCGAACCCGAGCGCTCCGGCCGCCGAGGCCCACGATCCGAGGGCAGGGCCCGCCTGGGAGGAAGCTGCGAGCCCCTAGCCCCCGGCCCGGCCGGCCCGGCCCGAGCCCGCGTACCTGGTCTGCTGGGGCTCGGTCCATGGCGCCTGCAGTCGCTACGGGCCCGCTTAGTCGGTGTGGAGAGCGCCTCGGGCCGCTTTCTCCATGGCCCCCCGCTCGGGTCTAGACCGGGCTCCAGACCTCCGCCCCTCTCGGTCTGGCCCCGACACAGAGTCCGGCTACGCCACTGGCGGAGGAGGAGGCTCCAGCTCCGGGCGATGGAGGAGGCGGTGGCACCTTCGGGGAGGGATCATCTGGGACGGAAGCCGAGAAGAGCCGAAATGCGCGGGAGGCGTAGTCGAAAATGGCGGCGCGCGGGGGCCGGGCGGGGTTGGCGGTGCAGCGGGCGGAGCGAGGGCCGACGGCCCGCGCCGGCCATCAGGGGAACCTGGGTTGGCTCACCTGGAGGCTGAGGCCAGGTGGGCAGTGCTAGGAACAGGTGCCCCAGCCACCCTGCGCTTCCCATGGGACTTAGCCATGCCTCTGGACAGTTAAACTGGAGGGGTACCGAGTCACTTGGGACTCGGGACTCGCGGGTTCCCATCTTCAGGGACCTCAGAGACAATGTCATTATCCAAACCACTTCTTAGTGAAGTCGTAAGAGTTTTTTCTGCTCATTGGACATATGATTCTTTCTTATGTTACCCAGCCAAAGGGAGTCATGACTGCAAAGGGAAATACCAAGAACAGCCACCAGACAGAAACCGAGTCAGAAGTCTCCACACATACGGATTACAGATTACAGAATGCAGCGTCCAGGTGCAGGCCCCGGGCTCCCCTCCAGGCCTCCGCCTGTCTCAGAATTCCTGACCTTCCTGCCAGCCGCTAGCACACCGCCCACCAGATAATGATGTATTCCACTGCCCTTACTGATCCTTCCTTTCCTCTCCAGTTCATTAGCTCCTTGAGGAGAGAGACTGCGCTGTAACTGGACACTTGGTGAGCATGGCAGGGCCCCTCTGGGCATCTCGGCAGGCACACCCTCAACACACACCCCTTCCCAGAAAAGTTCTTGCTTGCTGGCCAGCTGCAGGGTGAGGAAGAAAAATACAAACCTAAATAAGCTAAGTTATACTGAAGTGAAAGAAGAGAGTAGAGGTTACTCCTGTTTGGGGGACTGATGGACGTGGAGATTCAAGCTGGGAAAGAGAATTTAAGAAGTTTGCTTTGTCTTGCTTCAGGGGACATCAGTAAAGAGTTGAATTGCCTTTTCAGTTAGTCTAGGTTGTTGGTCTGGTTTTACTGGGTTAGGATTCCAAGAAGAGGCTGGTCTGTGAAGTCCCTAACTGTATTGTACTTAAGTCGATAGTGTATTTTGACCTGGTCACAGATACCATATTGGGTTAACAAGACTTGCATCAATGTCCTGGCCGGTGTGGTTCAGTTGGTTGGGCGTTGTCCCCAGGTACCCTGGTGTACCAAAAGGTTGCTGGGTTTCTTGCAAGGTCAGGGGATCCTGCAGGAGGCAGCCGATCAGTGTTTGGCTCTCAAGTCAACGTTTCAGTCTTATGTTAATGTTTCTTTCTCTTTCTCCCTCTCCCTTTCTCTCTCTCTAAAAATCAATTAAAATTTTTTTTAAGTCCGGCCAGTGTAGCTCAATGGTTGAACATTGACACATGCACTAAGAGGTTGCTGGTTCCATTCCTGGTCAGGACACATGCCCAGGTTGTGGGCCCAATCCCCAGTGCGAGGCATGCAGGAGGCGGCCAATAGATGTTCTCTCTCATTGATGTTTCTATCTCTCTCTCCTTCTCACTTCCTCTCTCTAAAAATCAATAAAGAAAAAAACCTTTTTTTTAATTTTTGAAGAAAAAGACTTACAGCAAGGTTGGCAGTAGAAACCCTTTGTAAGGAGATCTCTCATTTTTAATTTTTTTAATTTTTATTAACTCTTCTGCTTCTTTAAGTTATGTGTATGTGTGTGTATATGTATTTATGTGTTTAAATGGCACATGTATGTATGAATGTTACATACAAGAGCAATTCATGTAATGTTAGGTCCCTCGTGTCTATCAATGAATACTAAATGATTTTAGGTTTGCTCAGAAAAACTAAGCTATTTATAAGATGTAGTTATGTAAACTAACAGATGATCATCCTCCTTCACAATTTTCAGATAGAAAGAACTCTGGATTTTTAGAATGTCTCCCCACTGGTGGTCTCTAGCCATAAGACAACTCCGTCTGAGTAAAAAGATAATAATAATGCAGTAATAATTCAGTCATAAATATACTACAGTACTTAGGTTTGCTTCCTGAGGAAATTAAAATATAGGATCTCTAAGGATCTTTCCATATATAGTATATTTATGTCTATGAAATAGTTCTTGTTGAGAATCTTCTATATACAGAACATTTATTTAATTTTTTTTTTTTTATCCTCACCCGAGGACATTTTTCGATATTTTGTTCAGCTAGAGTGGGAGGGAGAGAGAGAGAGAAATATCGATGTGAAAAGGACACATCGAGTGGTTGCCACCCACACGACCCAACCAGGGCCAGGGACAAACTGCAACCGAGGTACGTGCCCTTAGTGGGAACAAAACCCGGTTCTCTCCAGACCGCAGGCCAAAGCTCTAACCGCTAAGCAAAATCGGCCAGGGCTAATTTTTAAGAACAAAATTATAAGAACAAAATGTGATAGTGCCCTTCTTTTTAAACACAATCCCGGAAAAGACTGCAATAGCTATTAGAATAAAAAATTAGCCCTGGCCCTGGCCGGTTTGGCTCAGTGGTTGGAGCGTCAGCCTGCGGACCAGAGAGTCCTGGGTTCAGTTCCCGCTAGGGCACGTACCAAAAAAGTAAATAAAAAAATTAGCCCTGACCCGTTCTGCTCAATGGTTAGAGCATCCATCAGTGGACCGAAGGGTCTCAGGTTTGGTTCTTGGTCCAGGGCACGTGCCTGGGTTGCAGGTTGTACCCTGGCCCTGGTCAGAGTCGTGCAGGAGGCAACCAATTGATGTGTCTCTCTCACATCAATGTTTCTCTCTCTTTCTCTCTCCCTCTCTTCTTCTCTGTCTAAAAATCAATGGAAAAATATTCTTAGGTAAGGATTAACCAAAAATAAAATAAAATCGCTGAAGAAGAAGACATAAAAAAAATTACTACATGTTATAGATGATATGACTATACTTTAATTATTTAATGTGACAGGTGCTATGCTAAGTACTGAAGGTATATCAGTTAACAAGACACTGTGAGAGCAGAGAACATGTTTGTCTTCTGGGTAAGTCATGCACAGAACAAGAAATTACAGGTGAGCTGAGTGCCATGAAAAAGAAAGTTCAAAGTTCGGCTCAGTGGTTGAGCGTTGACCCATGCACCAAAGGTCACCAGTTCGATTCCTGGTCAGGACATATGCTCAGGTTGTGGGCTCGATCCCCAGTGGGGGACATGCAGGAGGCGACCCATTGCTGTTCTCTCTCATCGATGTTTCTATTTCTCTCTCCCTCTCCCTTCCTCTCTCTCTAAAATCAATAAATGAAAAAAAATTTTTTTTTAAAGAGTTCAGTAGGTTCTATCATGTTGTGGGGTAGAAGGTCAGGGAAGTCATATCTAAGTAAATAGCATCCTAGCAATGACCTGAAGGGTGAGTAAGAATTATGATAGTGAAGAAGTAGGAAAGTAGTTCCGAGAAAAAGAAATGACATGTGTGAGGACTCTGAGGTAAGAGAGAGAATCCAGCATTATATTTAAGAAGGTTATTCCTTGAAATGAGAGTTCACGATGAGATAGATAATCCAACAGAGCAGGGCCTCTGAGAAGGTCGAAGGGCGGAGGCTATAAAACTTAGGGGCAGTAATGGGCTCAGATAGCAGTAGACACATGTTGTCCCCAATAACAGAAGGAAAGGAAGAAAGGATAGATATGGCTGCAGGGAGATTTATAAGTTGAGGGAAGGCCTGTCTAATGGCTTGTATTTTCCCTGAAGCAGGAGGCAAGGTTATCTGCTGACAGTGTAAGGAGGCAGAGTTGTGATTATACCTTTGTCAAAACTCAGCAAATATATATTTAAGACTTATGCAGGTACTTATATATACATTTTACATCAAAAGAAAAAAACCTGTAAATAAATATTGAACTACCTATGTAACCCAAATTTCTATCGAGATATAGAATGTTACCATTACTACCTGTGGCTTTTTAAACTTCACTACTTATATCAAATTTTTATCTAATTCATTGTTGTATCCTCACTACCTATGCCAATGCCTTGCACATAGCAAGTGCTCAATAAATATTTGTTGACAAAATGAACATGTGATGTGATATTAAATCAGGATTCTTTCAGGGTTGGGTTTTGTCAGGTATGTGCATGTTACTGAATTAGCAGGATTGCATAGGATGCAAGAACTAAACCCTTGTATATTTTACTCCACTGTCTCTTCAAGTACTCTGAGGGCTACTTCTTCTACTGGCCTGGATGAAGTCTCATGAAGGTCCTGCAAACTTCATTCCAAGTTAAAGCTTTTCCTTTTCCCAAGCTCAGTTTTGCTTCAGGCTAAAAGGTTGCAGTGGGGGCATGTGGCACAGGCCACTTTTATTTTTGCTTTCTTCCTCTTTCATCTCTACCTCCTCCACCTTCACTACTCACTGGTTATGCTTTTAGATTCCTCCACTTTGGGGTTGTGGTGGGAAGGGTGGTGGAGCTTTTCAGATGCCTTAGATGCATGACATGCAGGAAGTCACTTCCAGACAACCACTTATGACCCTAACCCTCAGCCCTTGAGCTTCTGAGGTTTCAGTCCTCTGCTTGATCCCTTGTGTGGCCAGCTGTCTTCTTAGCTAGACTCCCTTTTAAACTGGCTTCAGAAATAATTCTCTCCCACCATCCCTGAGAACATTTTGCTACACTTGATTTATCACATATCTATCCATCTACCCATCCATCCATCCATCCATCCCTCTATCAGCCCATTAAACCATCTTATTTTTGGTGCATAACAGCACACTTTCCCCTGGGAAAATTTTATGTATCCACATTTGGTAAAAATGCAACTTGTTTCAAATGCAACTCTGTCTCTCTCTAGTTTGCCTTTGGTTTTCTCAGGAAAGTATCATATCCCAGGTCCCTGTATTCCTCCAGACCCCAGATGACTTGTATCAAGTTTTCCAAGTGCTTCCCTGCAAGCTCCTCTCACTATAGCTTGAAGTAAGCATCTCCCTTTTCCCCATTGGAGATGTAGATAGGTATCAGGTATCTCCAAAGCAATACTCTTATTGAGTCGTTAGTTCCCCACCCCCACCCTGTACGAGCGGGAGATGAGTGATAAATAATACTGAATCATCATTTCTTAGCATATCTTAGCAATACCCCCTCTAGGCCACGTGTCTTTGAAAGTCCCTTCAGCCTCTGAGACTCAGTTTCTTCATCTATACATTGCACCGAGTCAGTGAGAGACTCAAGTTAAGGTAATAAATGTGAGAACACATTGCGCGCTCTAGAGGAGTGGTTCACGGTCTGGGGCACTTTAAAAACTAAGGCCCCACCCTGGCCAGTTTGGGTCAGCAGTTAGAGCATCAGCCCGCAGACCAATGAGTTGTGGGTTCGATTCCGGTCAAGGCCATGTACCTCAGTTGTGGTTTGTTCCCGGCCCTGGTCAGGGTCATGCGGGAGGCAACCAGTCGATGTGGCATTATCACATCAATGTTTCTCTCTGTCTCTCTCTCTCTCTCTCTTTCTCCCTCCCTCCCACTCTATCTGATGATAAATGGGAAAATATCCTCGGGTGAGGAATAAAAAAACAACTAAGGCCCCTCCTTAGAACAATTAAGTCAGAATCTTTAGAGTAAATCATTGTACAGCCAGCCAGAGTTGCCATAAAATCTTACATCAGATCATATCACTTGTCTTTTCAAACCCTCCAATAAAATTTCCCATCTTAGAGTAAAAACCAAAGTCCTTAGAGTAGTGATTGAGGCCCCATGAGCAGGCCCCTA